CAGCGAGACAGAGGACATTGCAGGGAACTAAACACAGGAATTAGGGCTCCCCAGACAAAAGATTTAAGTCCACTGGAAGGACAAGACCCAGAAAGCAGCTGCAGGATGAAAAGAGATTGATCCAGAACAGAAATCACTTGTGTCCACAGGACAGGGCTGTGCTAGAAGCCCAGAGATAAGCTCCAGACCAAAGTGGCAAATCCCTGAACCCAGGGGACAGGCTTTGCAATGAGGCTCTCCTCTTGAGGATCTCTGAAGATACGAGTTCATTTTGGATGAAGGGAAAAAGTCTCCTATATATAGCAAAAAAGCCAAGGCAGTAGCTGCATCACACTAAAAAAAGTTACAGATGGAGGCAAAATATGGGCAATCCGCCTTTAATAGTCCAAGTCAGCATGTGCCCTGAGCTGGGACCCTCAGAGACAGACAGGACACAGCCAAGATGTGACCCCTGCGATTCAGGAGAGGGGTTTCCTCTGCCAAATGCTAAATTCAGGCAGGTTTGGAGATGAATGAAAACTGCACACCATAAGGGAGGGCCAGGAATAGAAAGCCCATGTGGGGGAAGAACGCTCTAGATGTAGCAAACGCATCTCCAAGAGGCTTTTATCATTCTTATTTTGTCACTACTATCAACAATAATAAGAAAAGAGCTTACAGAGCATCCTCCCCAGTCCCTAAGCAATGCATCCAGAGATTAGCAGCAGAGAGCAGTGGGCAGCAGAGAAAAGCTGTTCAAGGAATGTAGAGGCATGCATAATGAGATTACCGAATTGGAGTTGCATGTTTTCAAGGATAAATGCGATATTATTGCACTGGCAAAGGCATAGCAGGAGCAGGGGAAAAGATGAGAAACAGCCTGTCAGAAGGGAGGGATCACTGCAGCTGAGCTCCCAACAGGACAGGGACAAGTGGGAAGTGGAGGCAGCGAGGAGGAAAGGAAGTGCACATCCTACTTGACATGCAGATATGCAGAGAAGCTTTTTGCAAAGTGGGTGATGTCATCGTGTTTTTCTCAGCCTTCAGGACAGCAAGAGAAAAATAGATGAAACCAGCACATGCAGAGGAGTCTGTAAGACGAGCAGACTTCCCCCCCACACCCCATGCAACACTAATTGCTCAAATATTGATCGGGGAAATCATTTGTAAGGACTAAAGGAGGAAAAGAAATACTTTCCTCTTAAGAAGCAAAAAGGGCAATGTTCCTGCAGAGCTGCTGGAAAGGTCCAGGAGATCGGAGAATTTCCAGAACCATAGATGTTAGCCTAAGATGTTGAGCTGGTCTAATTTGTTATTTGTTTATACAGGAGAGCTCCAACAACTGCAGTCTTTTATTTTTCATGATAGCATAGACATGAAGCGTAGTTGGAATTACAGCTAGGCTGGCTCTCCCAAGGAACAGGCCTTGAGTGACCCATGGATCCTAACTAGCCTTGGTCAGGGGAAAGCAGCAGCTTCAGAGGGGACTTTGGCAAGGCAGGATGGTGGCTGGGCTGAGGGCGGCAGGAACCAGCTGCCCAAGCTGAGCCCTGGCAAGGGAAGGAGCAATTAGGATCAAAACCCAAAGCACTGGAGCTGTGTAACCCCTACTGCCCTGGCATGGGCACCGTGCCCGAGGAAAAGCAGCAGCTCTGCTGGCTTCTGGAGAGCTGCTTTGCCTTCCTGACAAAGGAAAGCTGCCATGCAACAAAGTGTGAGAGCTACTCCAGAAAATATCTGCACCTCGTCAGCTTCTAGAGTAAACCATGACAGAAACGAGCACCAGAGTCCTCTGTGGTTAAAAATGGATGTTGTGAGTACACCAAAGCACATGAAGAATACTATTTAAAAAACAAAACCAAGAATCAACCACCAAACTATTAAGAGAGACTGGGAGAATGATAAAAATAAGCATGAACATGCAAAAACAGTGATTGCAGGAAGAGGAGAAAGCATCCACAAAGCCTGCAGTGAATGTTTGTCAGGGATATGCAGGCAAATAACCACAGGAAATGGGAGAATCAGATCCCTTAAAGTATATGCTAAGGTTAGAAGGAGAGGAGCACAGTTTTATTTCATAACTGCCTGATACTTTTTCCATTTGACAGAGGCCAAGTTCCCGGAGTGCTGCATTGCGTGTCCGGGGGTTTCCCTCTGGGCAGGTGAGCGCAGGGAGCACAGAGCATCCCAGCCCAGGGCACGGGGCTGAACTGGAACCCCTTCGGGCACGGGGGCTGCTCCTGGCCCAGCTGGAGCCGTGCTGGGCTCTGGGACAGCAGCACATGGGGGGACAGCCCAGCGACAGCAGCACTGAAATCCAGGAGGGCTCTCTCCACTCACCGACAGGGCAAAGCCTCACACATAAATTAGACCCTGCCTGCCACTATGGTTGGTTTAAAAACCAGACCGAGAAATTAGAACTCTCCAGGGGATAAGAATGCAACAAAAACTAAGGTCTGGGGGATTCTTCTTCTCTTATTTGAATGCTATTTTACAACCTGGGGTATGCCACGTATTGTCCCATTTAAATTAATAAAAATAAAATCCATAAAAACAAAGCCAACAAAAAGCATCCAAGAATAAAAAAAAAGGCAACCCCAAATCCCTGAAAACCAAGCAAATAAAGAAGTCTGTCTGTTTAACTGGTCCCAGTATAAGCCAGGAGTAAGCTGGTATGGAGGGGTGAGGTGCAGTGCTGTGCAGAAAATGTTAAAATGCAGCCAAAGACCCTGGTTTGGTTTGGGGGAGAACCTGCACCTGTACCCGTCTCCTGGACTTCTTAAACAGAACATGAAGGTATCTGGTAACTGTTGCATGGAAAACCCTTTGCACTGAGTGGAACAAGTCTGAAGAGAAAAAACAAACAAGAGTAGTTCGGATTTCCCCAAGAGCGGTTTTAGGACCTTGCGTGACATTAAACCTCACAAGAGTTTACTTTGTTCCTTTCCACAGGAACAGCGTGAGCTCCCAGAGCTGGCAAAGCACAGCGAGTCTGGCTGCAGGGGAGGTGCCAGGAGCTCCTGTGCCCCCTGCACTGGGCAGGCAGCTGGGGCAGGAGCTCCAGCAGGGCGCAGCCTGAGCCCACGCTCCCTGCCAGGAGCTGGCACAGCTGCACAGGGCAGGGACGGGCCAGGCTGCCAATGCCTTCCCCGTGCCCTTCCACCACAGGCTGCAGGGTGAGTCCAACCTGTTCAATGTGTGCATTGAACTCGGGCAGGTGATCAAAGCTAAGGGCATCCTCTGGCAGGAGGGAAAGCAGCCCAACAGCAGGGAGCAAATCGGATCAAGAGCAGGCTTAGCAGAGCTGCTGTCCCTGCCCGCTAAGCTAATTGTTCTCCAGGCCTGCTTGCCCTGCTAACGCACGAGGTGAGTGGGAACCTGTGCTTGGGAACTGCTGCAGTATCTGAGCTCTGAGAACACACAGCATCGCTTCCATTGCAGTAATGAAGGCACAGAATGGCAGCTTTAAATGCTAAGGGTAATGATGCATTTCCATTCCCTCTCAATTAATCCAGAGCCTGCAATGCCGGGTGCACTTACTCCGAGAATTTTCTCAGAAAATGAAGCTAGAGTATTTCATTTATAAATCACAAAAGACACTTATTTGGCAAGAATGACCCTTGCTCATATACAATAAATCATGAACATCAACAGTCTCTAATGGATTTTGAGTCAGTGCCACAGACAGCAAAGCCTGGGGCCTGTGTTTCAGGATTCCAGGACTGTGCCAAAGGAGCCTTATAAATTATTAATGTGTTCATCACGGTGTCATCTGTGCCACTAGAGAGATAGAGGCACTCTGGGGCTCTGTTTGACATTAAAAAAGTGATAATGGGTTCAGCAGGCAGACCATGCCTCCCCTCCCCATGCCAGGCTGAGCCAGTCCATGTCTCACGAAATCCCTTCCCCAAAGTTTTATACATGTTCTTGGTTCACAACGTGCAGCATTTTGAGAAAAGAAAAAACAAGAGGAAAAGAAGTCTGTTTTCACAAGTAGACCATCCAAGCCAGACCCCTAAGGGATGGAGCCATGGTCTGTGTTTGCAGATGTTTGTACAGAGGCATTACAGAGGCAGCCAGGGCTTCTTGTGACTTCTCTGCCATACAGTGAGGACGTGGGTATACAGAAAATTCAAGTTTTGGTCCCTACTGCTCAGTCTCTCATGCTTTTCAGTTATTCATCCCACAGTTTTCAACCTCTCCCCCTTCACTTTTGTCCCCATGGTTACTGAATCACTGTGTTCGCAGAGATTTTCCTCACTAAAGAAAATGTGACTAACATGAGGCAGCTAAATTACCAGAGCCAACTCTGACATTGGTTTCTCCCAACGTGGATCTTATCTTCAAAATGCCTTTAAGTAGATCTGTCCACTGAAACCAACTTCAGAGTAAGCAGCACTTCAGCTATTGACAATGCTGCATCACTTGCGCAGGGAAGAGTTTAAAAAGGTTGGAATCGGGTAAAGGATGAAAATCAAACACCAGCTTTAGCAGACACGCAGCCTAGGAGTGCGTGATACAAATAACTAGGAGACACATTTCACTGCAAAAACAAAATTCAATTAAGCCCTGGAATGGAAGGCATTATTTCCTCACTCCCCCTGGGTCTAGGAGTTCAAGCAGAAGTGGCCTCTTGAAAGCCAATTTGGTTAAGCAGCAGAAGACTCACGCGTTTTAGGCCCAAAGGAATGTCTATTACAAACTGCACCAACCCAGGCCAGTGGGTAACAAGTCTAAAACGTCCAGCCACAGCAGTCTTTGCACACTGACCCACTGCTCAGAGGAGCTTCTCCCACACTGAGCAGCCCAGGCTGCCCTAGGGACACTCAAACCACACGCCTTCCAAACTACCAAAAAAACACCCAAAAAACATTGAAATTCATTTGTATATGAGAGGCCTTCCTCTCCTTTACTCGCAGCATCCACGCAGCCACAAGTGCCCAGGCACCAAAGCAAGGGCAGCTCCTCAGGGAGCATCACCAGTCAGGAGCCGGCAAACAACAGAGATGTGGAACGCTTACCTTGGCCGCTACCGAGGAGTTGGGCTTCTCCAGGAGGTCCCAGAGCTTTTTCCTTTTCTCAGCACAGCAAGTGTTATCGAATTCCTCCCCTTCCCTTTCCCTCAGGGTCTCTGCTTCTCTCTTCAGCTCCTCGTTCATCTGCTCTTTCTTCTGGTGGTAGCGGGCCTGGCAGCAGGACTCCAGGTAGATCTCGTCCACCCCCCAGTAGTCCAGCTCCTGGCTGAAGGACAAGGCGCACATCTCCTCCATCATGTGCAGCTTGCCGGTGCGATAGAAGTTCAAGATCGAGGTGAACGCCCCGGGGTGCCTGTCGAAGAAGTACTCGTTCTCCTCCAGGTTGTAGTCGTCGCAGATCTCCATGAGGGAGTCGTGCGTGTTGCAGTCTCTGAGCTTACCCAGCCTGGTCCGCGGCAACCTGTCCAAGGTGCGCCAGAGAACCTCGTGGGCCAGCCCCCCCACGTTGAGCTTGACCCTCCGGGAGCAGGCCTTGCTCCTGACGATCTCGGTGGGGTCCGGAGGCAAAGAGGTAGTAGAGCGAGATCCATGCTTATTCATCCCCAGAGGCATCGCGGGTCCCGCTCGGGCTGCAGGCGGCTCGGTGCGGCGCGGGGCAGGGCGCGGGGCCGGCGCTGCTCACCTCTCGCCGCCCTCCATGCCCCGGAGCTGCAAGAGAGGCCGCGCGTGGGTCCCCGCCCGCCGCCCCCGCCGCCCCCGCGGGCGGGGAGCGGGGCCGCCAATGGCGGGGGGGCGGCGGCGCTGTCCGCCCGCCGGTGCTGAACCCGCGCCCGTCCGGCCCGCTCCACGTGCGGCCGCCCTGCCGCCGAGCTCCCCCGGGCGGCGGCCGGGTCCCCCCGCCCCGGCGGCTGCGGAGCCGGGCTCGGCCCCGGGAGCCGCTCCGGGGGCCGCGGAGCTGCCCCGAGCAGCGCTCGGCCATGCGCCCCGAGAGGCGCCGGGCCCCGGCCGGGGTGCGCTGGCACCGGGCTCCCATCGCGGAGCGCCCGGCCTCGCCGGTCCCCACCCCAGCCCGAGCGGCCCCCGGGCTGCCCCCCGCCCTGCCCGGCCCTGCGGGCTGCGGAGGCTTTTAGTAACTCCAGCCTTAGCGATTTCCCGAGGAAAGAGCTGGGGCAGGGAAATGGGAGGATTTACGGCCACTCTAACGACGCGCTCTGCCTCTCTGGGCTGCCCAGGGACGCCCCCCAAGCCCCCCACACCGGCCTCTGCATAACCGGGAAAGCAACGAACCCGGGAATAAGGAAAAACCCCGAGCCTGTGTTAGGGAGCCGGGTGGCTCCTGACAGCGCCGAGCACTGTTGCTTACACAAGATGGCACGAAGAGAAGCCCCGGCGCAGGCAGGAGCGGCTCCCCGCGCACCGCCGGCACAGCTCGGGGCTCGGCCCCGTCCCCGCCGCCCCGGCTCCCCCAGCCCCAGAGCGGAGCCCCGCCGCCGCCTCCGGCCGCCGCGCACGGGGAGGGAGAGGCTGGCGCGGCGTGGCCCGGCCGAGCCCAGCCCTCACCTACCTCCTGCTGCGGGCTCCCGGCGCGGCGGTGCGGGGCGTGCGGGGCCGAGGGCGGCTACATCCTGCGGCGGGGCGGGCGGCAGGGGCGGCCCCGCTCGCATCCCCCCCCGGGCAGCCTCAGGGCGGAGGGACGGCGGCGGCGCTCCCGGCTGCCCGCCGAGCCCAGGGGGAGGGGAAGGGAAGCGAGGTGAATCGGCTCCTTCGGCAGGAAGCTCTCCGAGGCCTTCCCTCGGCTGCGGCTCCCCGCTCCTGCCCGCGCCCAGCGCCGGAGCCGCGTCTGCGCCGCCCCCGGCCCGTCCCCGGCGCACACGGAGCGGAGCCCCGGCGCTGCCCGCCGCCGCCTCGGCCCGGCGCTCAACAAGTGCAGCCCCGGCTCCGGCGCGGCCGTGCGCGGCTGTCCCGCGCGGGGCGGAGGGCTCGGGGCCGGGGCCGGGCAGCTCCACCGTGAGCCGGAGCCCAGCATTGCAGCGGGGCCGCCCCGCTCCGCTCCCCGGGCCCTCCCTGCGCAGCTCGGGGCCGGCGGAGAGCGCCCAGGCGAGCCGGGAGCCCAGAGCCCCGGCAGGCGGTTCCGAACCCAGCCGGGAGCAGCGGAGCGCAGGGACATTGCTCATTACCCCGGCTGGGAGGGCGAACCGGGCCCTCGCCCCCACCCCGCTGCCCCTCGTCGGAGGAAGGAGCCCACAACGATGGTCGCAGATGTTTGCAGAAACACATAGAAGGAATAGCAATGGATCTCTGCTGCCGATTAGGACTATAAATACAACGCAAAGCAGCATTTACTAACCTGAAAACACCGCAGAAATAGAGAAAACGTCGACTTTCCAGGCAACAGCGCAGCAATCGAAGTATTCTCTGCCAGGCTGTCCCTCTTGTCTCCTTCCTTCACTCCCACCAGGGAAAATGGCCCTCAGCAACAGCCTGGAGAGCCATTAGCACCAATTAGCATCACTTAATGCAATTCACCTGTTTGGACTGCCGTACCAGGGGTACACAGCTGTGCCCTTCTCTTGCCTTGATTGCTCGTGGCTCCTGGACTCCAGTGACAGTTCCTGAAACTGGAGCCCGATGTCTGATTTTATGTGATTAATTAGGGAAAATGACCCCAGTGCTGCTTTCCCCCATTATCTGTGCTTCTCTCGCCCGTGCCTGGCTCCCGATGCCCAGTGTTCTCAGTGTCAGTGCTAGACTGTTATAGTTGGTGTTTGAATGCCTACATCTTCCTGAGAGGAGGCTTTCTGAAATCCCTAACAGTGCTTTTGTCCAGTTCACACAACCCTGTATCAGCTGTACATTTAGGAATTTGTTACTAGGAGTTGATCACTACCTTCCTTTTGGAGAAGAGGAATTTAAGATATAGAAAAGCAAGATCACCCAGAAAGGGGCGGAAGGAAGAATTGGGAATAAAACCTGTTGACCAGCTTAATCCCAGCCCAGGGCCCCTCCAATGAAGTAGCTCCTCCTACCCCAAGAATGCTTCCAATGCAGGACAGACATTAGGGCAATATTGGGAGCACTTCAGCTCTCCTGTTGCTTTGTCATCATTTCACCTCCACACCCGACTTTTCTCCCCTTACAACAGAGACAAAACCCCTGATGAGGGCCAGGAAGCTCAGTCTGTTAATGATTATAAAATGCTTTGAAACTTCCAGCTGGCAGGCGCCACAGGAGAGCAGGGTTTGTCAGCACTGACCTCCCGGGCACATTATCTCCCCCCCCCCCGTGATGCTGGGAGGGAAAATGACAAGTGGCCTAATGCGGGGAGATGCGTCAGATTCACCAGTAAATCACGGGGGGAGAGGCACCTTGGCTTTGCTAGCAGGGCATTTGTACCTTCCTGCGTCATGCGGGCTCCCTGCCACTGCCACGGACGTGCTGTGCCCAGGCATGGAGAGAAAGCCCTGGAGAGGGGCAGCCCTGGGGCAGGGGCAGCCCTGGGGCAGGGGCAGGGGCAGCACAGGCTCCCCCAGAGCCCCCCAGGGGCAGCACAGGCTCCCCAGAGCCCCCCAGGGGCAGCACAGGCTCCCCAGAGCCGCCCTGGGGCAGCACAGGCTCCCCCAGAGCCCCCCAGGGGCAGCACAGGCTCCCCAGAGCCGCCCTGGGGCAGCACAGGCTCCCCCAGAGCCCCCCAGGGGCAGGGGCAGCACAGGCTCCCCAGGGGCAGCACAGGCTCCCCCAGAGCCGCCCTGGGGCAGGGGCAGCACAGGCTCCCCAGGGGCAGCACAGGCTCCCCCAGAGCCGCCCTGGGGCAGGGGCAGCACAGGCTCCCCAGGGGCAGCACAGGCTCCCCCCGAGCTCCCCTTCCCCGCTGCTCCTCTGGCCCCTGCTGAAAGCGCTCTGAGGGAGCTGGAGAGGCAGCCCTGCCCAGGGCAGTCCCTCCCGCTGGCTCTGCCTGGGGTGATCCACGAGCCTGGGGGAGGAGAGGATGTTTCCACCCCCAGGACATCTGTTCCGTGCAGCATTTCTTGTCCCACACCAAGAGTTTGTCAGCGAGGGGCAGTGCAGGCCTGGAGATGCAGAAATGTGCTTCCCGCTCGCTCTTCTCCAAGGTTATTTCACCCACCCTTGGTTTGGATACACATTTCAATTGATATTTTTGTACTCTGAGCTTCGCAAACTTAATTTATGGTTTGTTATTTCCCCAGCCTGTGGAGCCGGCCAAATGTTTGGATGCAGTTTGTGCAAACCCCGTTTCTCCCGGGTATTACAGCAGTTATTGACAAGGAAATGTTGCGGTGTGCTGTAATGTCCCATTTTAGGCTTCCGGGTTCCTTTCCCAGGTGTGCCTATACCTCTCTCCCTTCCCCCTTGCCCCCATGCTGAGTGAGTCCTGTCAATCAGGATTAACATTCCAGCGAGGCGTCGTGTGGTTGGTCAAGTTCAAAAGATGCCCCTCAGGTCCAGGGGTCATTGGCCAGTCTAGGTGTCATCCCCCCCTGAGACCCTGCGCCTCTCACCTGGTTGGGTGGCTCACCTGTCCCCTCCCTTCCCCCTGCCCCGGGAGCTTAAAAAGGCAATCTGACCATGCGGCTAGGTTCTGCTGGAATGTCAAGCCTGATTGACAGGACTCACTCAGCATGGGGCGAGGGGGAAGGGAGAGAGGTATAGGCACACCTGGGAGGTGACTTGGAAGTCTAAAATGGGACATTACAGCACACCGCAACAAGGAAACACCTCAGACCCGAGCCCCTCACAGGAAATATGCTGAGCACAGCAGAGATATGTTCTGCCGGGCCTGCATTCAGTGCCATAGACGTACCTGGATGCCACTGCCAGGCAGAGCAGCTCTGTAAGGCAGTGCTTGTTGAGCTACAATGTGAGAGGGAAATAGGCTGAGCCTAGGTGTGGAAATAAACATCCCTCTGCTGATGTGCAGTGACTCCTCTGCCTGCACAAGGAAAGCATCGCATCTTCCCAAACACCTGCGCCATGGGACAGGCGGCACCCTCCTGTCCGTCCTGTGAGGCAACAGGGAAGGCTGGCTCGCCCCATTTCAGTGCTGGCAGACAAACCAAGGGCTGTGAGGAAGGAAAGGCTCCTGGTGCCTCTGCAAAGCAGGGCCCAGCCCTGTCACAGCGATGGTGAGTGGGACACAGGGCCCCCACAGCGAGGGGAGCAGCAGCTCTGGGGGGCCCCAGGTTTGGCTGGTCCCCATTGCTGAGTTTCACACTCTGAAAGGAGCTCTGAGGGAACAATAACCCACGCTGTTCTCACAGCCTGAGGGCCCTGGACTGTTCCTTGGGAGTGGGACAGGCAATCACGCACAATAAGCTGCCTCTGTTGCACAGTGTTTCCTATTATGTCCCTTTAAGACTTCCCTCAGTTTCCTGGGATTTTCTTTCCAGACTGGAAACACTTTAGGTACAATGGAGATTTTCTTTTATAGCCCAAAATTCTTTCCCTTAAATGGGAAAAAAATTATCAGGTTCCTTGGCAGAGATCCATAACAAGTGTTGAAAAGTGCAAAAGGAACTGAGATAGATAGTGCTTGTGCTACTGAGAGCCCAGGAGCGTGGAAATACTGGAATACCAGGGGGAAATGCTGGAAACAGACAGCAAAATATGATCCAAAAATGAACCGTAAAGAAAGATAAGAGTTGAAGTTGTCAGCTTGTGTAAAGTTTTTGGGTGCATTTTGGAGTCCCCTTGTTGGGGCTGGCTGCCCTCCCTGCTGCTGCCCAGGAGGGGCTGGCACTGCTGCAGCCCCGCTCACCCTCTGCAGGAGCAGGGCAGGGAGCGCTCCCGGCCATCGGAGCAGCGAACCCCAGGGAAAGCTGCAGGGCCGGGAACAACCAGCAACGGAGCACGGACAGCCTGAGGCTGACCAGCCGGGAAACTGGGCCGTGGGGCCGTCTGAGGATCACATCTCCTGCCTTGGCTGGCTTCTCTTTAATGCCAGTGACATTTTTCTTTCTCCTTGGGATCTGCGGCCTGAGACCCCTCCTAAAGGCTGCTCTGTGTGCTGCATCTCCCAGGGCATTTCTTAGTGTCCACTTTGTTTTTCAAACAGCAGCAGCTGGAAAAGGTCAGAAAACAGCAGATTTTATTTTGTTTTCCAGAAACAGCCCCACAATGAGCACTTGTCCAGAGAGCAGAGACCCCTGCTCAAGTCCTCCAGCTCAGCCCCCTCCCTGTCCTCAGCTGCTTTTGATTTAGGCACCAAAATCCCAACAGCCTTGCAAGAAAACCTTTACCCCAGCACCTGAGCCAGTCATCCCCTGCCCTGCTGAGACTCATTTTCTGGCATGACTAAACATCTAAAAAGGTCAACAGCTAAGAAATTTCTATCCTCTCTGAATTCCAGCATTGCAGTGCTCTAAAAAGCATTTTTCTGTCCAAACTCCTCATTATAACACAGAATTCTGGTGAACACGTTTTTTTCCACAAAAAGCAGTTGCAGCGCAGCTCTTCAGCGAAGCACATGGGGCTCCTTCTCTGCAAAGGGCAAAGGATGTGGCAGGGCAGCCCTGGGAATCCTGCTCTGCACTCCTGCCAGCTCTGCAGGGCTCAGCAGGTCCCACACCCCCCGGGGAGGGCAGAAATTCCTGTGAACAGGTGAAAAACGGGGTCTGGCCAGGCTCTGCAGCTCCCACCCAGCTGCCCCTCCAATCTCTGCTGGCTGGGGAGGAGAAGGGTCCCGAGGGAAGGGGAGAAAGAGCCCAGGAGCAGGAACCCCCCTGGGGCCCTGCAGGGGATGGGGCACCCGGGGCAGGGCACACAGGGACACAGGACATGGCACCCAGGGCAGGGGCACACGGGGCAGGGCACACAGGCCACGGGCACACAGGGCACGGGCACACAGCGTGCGGGCACACAGGGCAGGGCACACAGGGCAGGGGCACACAGGGCAGGGGCACCCAGGGCAGGGGCACACGGGGCAGGGCACACAGGGACACAGGACATGGCACCCAGGGCAGGGGCACACGGGGCAGGGCACACAGGCCACGGGCACACAGGGCACGGGCACACAGCGTGCGGGCACACAGGGCAGGGCACACAGGGCAGGGGCACACGGGGCAGGGGCACATGTGGCGCGGGCACACAGCGCACGGGCACACAGGCCACGGGCACACAGGGCACGGGCACACAGCGTGCGGGCACACAGGGCAGGGCACACAGGGCAGGGGCACACAGGGCAGGGGCACCCAGGGCAGGGCACACAGGGCAGGGCACACAGCGCGCGGGCACCCAGGGCAGGGGCACACAGGGCAGGGCACACAGGGCACGGGCACCCAGGGCAGGGGCACACAGGGCAGGGCACACAGGGCAGGGGCACACAGGGCACGGGCACCCAGGGCAGGGGCACACAGGGCAGGGCACACAGGGCAGGGCACACAGGGCACGGGCACC